TCTCTATCTCTCTCTCTCTCGAGCAACTTGCGTCACAGGGCAGGACATCGGTATTGATATTGTATCCGGATATATCAAAATATACACAGCCTTATAAAAAAATCAAAACATATACATTACTTGGAAGAATAGAAATATACTTGTGTTGTCAAACTGGGCGCCTAGCACTCTAATGGAAGAATTCGGAAGGTAGTCAGGAAGGAGGATAGACAAGCAGTTTAGGTTGATCTAGAACATGTCCGCATACATTTTTATTTGTTGTTTGGAAAGAGAAATGACAGATGTGCACTCTTAAATACAAGTGTTGTATCTATTAGCTATTCTGCAAAATGAAAAGATGTATACAAGGTAACCATGCTACTCGAACTCCTCAACTCCTTAGAGGAACTTTATGCCGTGGTGCTACTATTGATGATTGCTAAAATCTGACTTATCGAAAGAATATAGAAATCTTTGATAACCAAGTTCATGTGACATAACTTGTTAACCACCTTACTTATTTCACCCTTACGCCTTTACCACATGGAAAAAAGGTCTGAAGAAAAGGGCATAGAATTCAGTCCAAGGGGTTTATCTTTGACCAAAGTGCAGGCAAATATTCCTTATGTGGTCCTTTGACCAAAAAAACTTTGTTGAACCCACTCATTTTATTAATGGTAACTTGAGGTTCTATTCTATGTTCTTCTGGATATAGTCTGCCTCAAATTGTATTTCTGTTGGGATGCCGCTTGTAACTTATCTTGAGAGCCGTTTAGGTTTCACCCATTAGAGTGATGTATGACTGATGTTATATGCAATCATTTCATTGTTTACATGTTGCTAGATCATTTCCATTTGTAGCATCATTCTGATAAAGAGAGGTAGCTGACTATCTGTAATGTGTGCAGGATCTTACTGTCATATTATCAACACTTCTTCCTGTGGTTTGTAGAAGCAATGACAAAAAAGAGCATTCAGATTTCTCAGTTGGGCTGAAGGTCTTGTTTTATTGATTCATTTATTCATTTTTTTCGTTAAGAGTGAAATCAATTGATTTACCAGCTCATGGTCTTTTCATGCTGGAAATAGTTTAGATTTTATTAACAAAAGGGGAAAATGAGTCAGATTCTAGGAATCCCATTCAATCATCTACACGGGGATTTTCTTTGCCCTTCAAAAATATTCAAGAGATAACAAAATGTCCTTAATTCATGACCAGTGAATTTTCCTCCTTAAAAATCTCTTCTGTTGTTTCTTGCCATACTGTCCAAAAAATGGCACGTGGAAGGATCTCCCTAACCTTAACTGATTGTCCTCCTCGTTCTCCTTCTCCAACTTTTAAGGTTCTCCCGCTCCAGCTTCTAAAGGAGATCACATTACTTTTCGGCATCTCCCATTTAACACACATCAGACTAGATGAAAAATTACACAATTTTGAAGAAAGATCAGTACAAGAGTAGATGTGCAACCTGTATGACCTTCTCCAGACTATGCATGAAGCACCAACACACATTTTTCCTCTCTCCTATGATTTTCAGTAGTGAGAATCACACTACTAGCAGCTGGCCACTAAGAAAAGGGAACTTTTTCGGTGCCGTTATTTTGCAGATAGCTACCTGTGTGAGGGAAGCCTTTGGATTCTCTCTTCAACAGAGCATTGTAGAAAGATCTTACATTAAAAAAAGTCCGATGATACTCCTTCCACTCCCAGGTTGCATTGTGGCCTTAGTCTGTTCATCCACACGTCTGAATAGATAGTTTGGGTACTTGCGTGCTGTCCTTTTGAAGAAGATTGCTGCTATTATTTCCTCAATTTGGAAGAAAGAAGCTCTGTTGATAATAAAGTGGTAATGTACGGCCTGTAAAAAATGAAACTTTCTGGGTGTCTTGGTAAAGACATCTAAAGCTTTAGAATATCGAGAGGCTAACAACACTGACCACCCTAAATACCATTCTTAAAATTAATAGCTTCTCTGAAGGTAGTATAGAGTTGATTTTCTTTCTGCCCCAAGTCCTTGGCCATATTAACATACCAGGGCTTTCTTGTTGCCATGTGACAAAGATCTGCTTCATCTCTTAAAATTCTTCTAATGTATCTTCACGGTGTTATATTTGACTAATATATAGTTCTTTTGGTTTTATGCGAATGGCAGACTTATAATGAAGTTCAGCATTGTTTCCTAACAATTGGTTTGGTGTACCCGGAGGATCTGTTTGTCTTCCTTCTCAATGTGGGTATTTTCTCTTTCATGCATTCCAATGCGTGAACTGTTTTTGTGATATTATGCTCAGTGTATCACCTACCAAGGAGGCAATTGAAAGGAAATCAAAAGTTTGCAATAGGGAATAAAACAACCTTTTTTCATTTTCCTCTTCTTGATTTTGAACTCTAGAATTCAACCCTTTCTTTAAAAAAATGAAATGGCGAACTTAGTTGTGAGACAGTGAGACTTGATTATTTACTAAGTAATTCTTCCACTAAATGTTGTGTATTTGCTCTTTGCCGCTGCCAGAAATGCAAGCTGAAAGAAGAACCACAGGCTGTTGGTGCACTTTGTGTATTAAAGCATTTGTTACCCAGGTTTTTTTTCCACCTTAATTTGTAAATGTTAATTTTATCTTCTCTTTCCCCATGTGACTGTCATCAGCTACTTTTATAGATTGTCCGAGGCTTGGCATAATAAGAGGCCTTTACTAATTGAAGTTGTGAAGCTGTTATTGGATGAGCTTAATTTAGGGGTCTGTAAGGCTCTTGCAGAGGTATTTAATATTTGCAAGTTTGCCTTAGTGACCAATTTATGCAGACACTTACTCTACTTATAGATTCTATGTGATTATGTTGCTGGCTTTGTAGCTAATTGTGGTTATGGCTTCCCACTGTTACTTGGTTGGTCCTTCTGGAGAGTTGTTCATTGAATATCTTGTTCGCCATTCTGCAATGTTTGGTTTGCACAGAGATGATACTGAGAGATCCAGGGAATTGAACTCGTCAAATGATGGTTATTACCCTTTTGTGTACAAGAAAACGGAGGTATGCATCCTTTGTAAAATATTCTGGAACTTGCAATGAGTGGTCTGTTCCTTGTCTCTGTTTCAACATTGCTACCAATTTCATTTCTTATTCATGGTTATGTTTCGTTGCTTGCCCTTCTCTTCATGTGTGATCGAGAGAGGAGTGCTCCCTATGGCTTTTTTTAGGGTGGGGAGGGGGGGAGGGTTGGAGAGTTCAGTCATTATCTTTGTGGTCTGATGAGGTAGTTCCTATTCCCCATCAATGGGGAATTTTCAACTTGAAATGACTCCCATATGTTTCAATTAGTGTGTCAGAATTTCTTTCCGTCGAATGCCATACCTGTTGCACAGACTTAGTCCTTTATATTCTAAACTATAAGATGCTTGAGTTCTCTCAGACGAAGATGGAGGTTGGTACACTGTCAGAATTGAGGGCAATCTGTGAAACGGGTCTTCTTCTAATAACTGTTACTGTCCCTGAGATGGAGGTATGGGAGTTTCCCTCCTTTGTTAAGAAATTTCAGTTTTGCACCCTTGTTTGAACAAATTTTAGTTATTTACTTTTTACCCCCTCTTCTTATGCTTATTATCATTTGTGGGACTAACTGAATTCAGTTTGTGCTGATTGTAGCATGTTTTATGGCCATTTTTGTTGAAGATGATCATCCCACGAGTTTACACGGGTGCGGTTGCCACGGTATGAGATATTTTCTGTCTACTTTTGACTTTCCCTTTTTGACATGGTTCACTACCTGTTTTTCCTGCTGAAAATTTCTTCTCTTTAAGTCAAGCTTACATGCTCTATTTGCTATCGATAATGGGTCTCACATCTACTTTTTATATCATAATAACTCCTTCAAGTACCTTCTATGTAGGTCTGCAAATGCATATCAGAATTGTGCAGGCGTAGATCTTCTCAAAGTGGTGCAGGGGTTTTGGAATGTAAAGCTCGTGCTGATATTCCGCATCCTGAGGTAATCAACTTTAGTTCCACTGAGCAGCGGAGAATTTGTATATTAATGTATATAGCTACCTAACCTCATTTTTGGTCTCTTAGGAGCTTTTTGCACGCCTGGTTGTACTTCTCCATAATCCTCTGGCTAGGGAGCAGTTGGCAACCCAGATTCTAACCGTAAGTCCTGTGTATCTTAGACTATAATAATTGTTGTAGTTTTCAAAATGTTTCTCTTGGGTATTAATTAAGGTATATTATTGATGGTAAAAGAACAAAAGCTGAATATTAGGAGTAATCAATGGGCCCCTCAGGCTTTGATTCAATGGTAAGAGCACAATGCGTGATGTCTGGGTTAGGCAAACATCATCACGAGGTCTTGTACTGTGTGCCATTTGGTCTTCGAGGATTCCTCGCATATTAAAAAAGAAAAAAACAAGGAGTTTACATCAATGGACTTTAGAGGCGTATATTCTTTTGACACAATCCATCCACTCATATGTGCATGTGTGAATCTTATTTGTGCTTCAAAAATACGAAAGATATGACAGAATCTGATTGAAGGTCTACTCCTTCCGTCGAAAGCCCTAATGATCCTGTCCCTCCAAACAATCTGCATCATGGCTTGCAGTGTAACATCCCATGATCTTCTCTGATCTCTCCTTATAAATTTTTACCGTCCAACATTAAAGAGGCTCCTTTTGGACAGCATTATTCAGCTAAGTCCAGACGACTTGATTTGGGTTATTTCATCTTGGGTTGGTCTTTCTAGAAAGTTGTTTGGAGCTGTTAACTCAATGATGAAGCAATCAGTTTGAGAATACACTTGCTTCTCATTGGTTGTGTAAGGGTTTCCAAAGGGGTTTGTAATGTCTTGGGCCACTCCACCTATTGCCTTAAGGTTTTGGGCTGAATGCTCTGATTCTTTCACATGGTATGAGAGTCAAACTAAGTTCGTTTTCATGACCGTTTCTCTCTCTGTCTATTCTATCACTTTGGGCTTGTCTCATTTATCTCTTCATTTATCATCCAAGCCATAAATTTGCTTTAGGATACTCCATCCTGTTGAGCCTACTCTCCCTTTCTACTCTAGGCTCCCTCTTGAGCCAGCTCCCTCTCTCTCCCTCC